ACGGATGCCAGCGTCGACGACCGCCCAAGGGATGTCGCCGAACTCCTTCGCCTCATGGCGTCCCTTCGTGCTCTCCAGCCGTGCCTCCAGGGTGTCCACCACCCCCATGTCACCTACGGCGCCTACCATAGTGACTACCGCACAGCTGCCGGCCTACGAACAACTTAGGTAAGGTGCCTACTAAGTCGACTAGACTGAAAGGTAAGTCGTTGTGCCGTCCACGCTCACCGCACCATGCGGAGATAACTTTAGCAACGGGAGCTAGACTACGGGCTAGGCACGGGTGCTCGTGTAATCTCTGCGTTCCTTGTTCCTTAGTCGTTTTCCTAGTGCACACACAGCTTGCTAGTTCACAAGGAGAATTGGCAAGAGTTTCACTAAGATAGGTTGACAATAATGATACAATGAAGTTGGCAAGACTAGACTACATCAGAGCTAGGATGCAAGCAGGTCGACTGCCAGCGCAGCACGGTCGACCGCGCGCCAGCACGACTTGGTCGACCGCGCTCCAGCAGTGCAGAGTCGCGGCTTGCCAACGTTGCAAGTCGACGGCGTGCCAGCGTTGCTCCCGCAGTACAGCATCACACCCGCTTCGCAGGTGCTCGCAGATGATTGGCGTGCAGTGCCTCGTCACCTGCACAGCGCACACACCAGATCTTCTACGTGCTGACGACCACCTCTGATCAGCCACGTCTACCTCGGGATACCACCCCCGAGGTCGTCCTCGCCAACATCGCATGCCTCCGCAGAACCTCGTCACCCAGGTAACCTGGTCGACCGAGCAACCAGGTCGACCAGAGGCTCCTGTGCGTGCCGTCGACCACCCAGGTCGACGACCACTTCCGGTCGACCTCCCCAGGTCGACCACTGCCTCTGGTATGTGCCGGTCGACCTCCCAAGTCGACGGCCACCTCCAGTCGACCTCCCCAGGTCGACCACTATCCCCTGGTTGACCAGCTCTAGGTCGAAGTCACTCCTGCTCAACCAAAAGACCTGGTCAACTTACCAGGTCGACCAGAAGGCCTGGTCGTCTTACTAGGTCGACGAGAAGGCCTAGTCGACTTACCAGGTCGACCAGAAGGCCTGGTCGACTTACCAGGTCGACCAGAGGTTCTGTCAGCCGACCATCCAAGTCGGCTACCCCAAGTTGGCGTCACCAAGTCAACACCCTCTGCAGGTCGACTTCCTAGGTCGACCACCCGAAGCTGGCGCCCTCCCGAAGTCGGCGCCCTTGCAGTGGCCCCCGTGCAGGTCGACCAACCTCGTCGACCAGCCCGCCCACTGCTGCAGGTCGGCTGCACCCCTACACCCGACCACGAAGTCGACCCTGCCCAAGCGAGGACGGGGCCAACACCCAACTCCCATTGACAAGAGTAAGCGCGTAGTGAGCGCGTTACTTAGCCATATGAGTGGTACTAAGAGTTAGCGCGTTACTTAGCCATATGATTGGTACAAAGAGTAAGCGCGTTACTTAGCCATATGAGATGTACAAAGAGTGAGCAAGTTACTTAGCCATATGAGTGGTACAAGGAGTAAGCACGTTACTTTGCGATCTGAGTGGTACTAAGAGTAAGCGCGTTACTAAGCCACATGATTGGTACAACGAGTAAGCGCGTTACTTTGCCACATGAGTGGTGCTAAGAGTAAGCACGTTACTTAGTCATATGAGTGGTACTAAATATAAGTGGATTATTTATCCATATGAGTGGTACTAAGAGCAAGCGCGTTACTTATCTATGTGAGTGGTACTAAGAGTAAGCACGTTACTTAGCCATATGACTACTATAAGAGTAAGTGTGTTACTAAGAAATATGAGTAGTACTAAGAGTAGGGCGTAACTTAGCCATATGAGTCGTACTAAGAATAAACGCGTAATTTAGCCATATGAGATCTACAAAGAGTAAGCGCGTTACTTAGCCATATGAGATGTATGTAAAAAGAGTAAATGGGTTACTTAGCCATATAATAGGTACTATAAGTAAGCGCGATATTTAACGATTTGAGTGGTACTAAGAGTAAGCGCGTTACTTAGCCATATGAGATGTACAAAGAGTGAGTGCGTTACTTAGGATATGAGTGGTACTTAGAGTTAGCGCGTTACTTATCCATGTGAGTGGTACTTAGACTAAGCGAGTTACTTAGCCATATCAATGGAACTAAGAGTAAATGTGTTACTTATCCATGTGAGTGGTACTAAGAATATGCGCGCTACTTTGCCATATGAGTGGTACAAAGAGTAAGTGCGTTACTTAGAAATATGATTGGTGTCAACGGGAGTTGTGGTTGGCCCCGTCCTCGCTTGGGCGGAGCCGACTTCGTGGTCGGGTGTGCGGGGGTTGCAGCCGACCTGCAGCAGTGGGCGAGCTGGTCGACGGGGTTACCTAGCCATATGAGTGGTACAAAAAGTAAGCGCGTTATTTAGCCATGTGAATGATACTAAGAGTAAGCACGATCTTAGCGATAAGAGTTGTACTAAGAGTAAGAACGTATGAGTAGAACTAAGATTTATTGCGTTACTTGGCCATATGAGTGGTACTAAGGGTAAGAGCGTTACATAGCGATATGACTCGTACTAAGTGTAAGCGCGTTGGTTAGCGGAATGGGTTGTAAAAAGAGTAAGCGCGTTAGTTAGCCATACGAGTGGTACTAAGAGTAAGTGCGTTATTTAGCCATATGAGTGGTAGAAGTAAGCGCGTTCCTTAGCCATATGACTGGTACGAAGACTAAGCGCGTTGCTTAGCCATATGAGTAGTACTAAGCTGAAGCGCGTTACTTAGCCATATGAGTGGCACTAACACTAAGCGCGTTGCTTAGCGGTATCAGTGGTACTAAGAGTAAGCACGTTACTTAGCCATATAACTGGTACTAAGGTTAAGCGCGTTACTAAGCCATATGGGTGGTACTAAGAGTAAGTGCGTTACTTAGCCATATGAGTAGTACTAGAAGTAAGCGCATTACTTAGCGATATGAGTGGTACTTAAAGTAAGCGCGTTACTTAGCAATATGAGTGGTACTAAGAGTAAGCGCATTTCTTAGCGATACGAGTTGTACCAAGAGTAAGGGCGTTGCCTAGCCATATGAGTGGTACAAAAAGTAGGCGCGTTACTTAGCCATGTGAATAGACTAAGAGTAAGCGCGTAACTTAGTGATAGGATGTCGCGAGATAAGCCGAAGGGACAGGGAGTGTATATACTGTACATTTGTATAGGCAACTCCAGCACTGAATACCGAGGACAGGGAAGCGAGGCTCGGATGATGGCAGGGCACATGGTGGAGTAACACGTCAGCAGGAGGCAGCATGGGGCGAAGGGGAAGTGTGACAGTTGGAAGGAGTTCTTTGTTTCGCGTGAGAATGCATGTTTCGTTTCCTTGCAGGTTGGATGCCCGAGCCAGCTGGAGTACAGGCGCAAGCTGGAGGTTAGGCCGCAGGGCGGCTAAGTGCTGGTGGTATGAGGACAGGGAGGGTGGCCCTTCGCTTCGGTGGGAAGCCATCACCTTCAAGGGGATCCAGAGGAGTAGCAATAGGGGGAGGAATGCAGGCAAGGATATAGGGGGTACGGGCATTTGACTTTGCATTGTTTGTATGTTCTGTAAATCTCATGTGATTGCTTCAAGCTCGAGCAAGCGTGAGTCGACAGGCCATAAACGACACTAGAGTAGTCAGAGGAGGATGTAACGAAGTAGTGTGAGTAAGCTGAACGGGCTTATCACATACAAACAATCTTCTGATGCAAGTAGTACGCGGACGCGTGGAGGGATGGAATACGGATTAGAAGAAGAAAATGGGAATACGAAGTCGACGTCGTCGGGAAGGTCACGAAGCATGAATCAAGGGACGGACAGGAGGGAAGAGGAGGCGCGCGATGATGGCTCGCCTAAGCAGGATGCGGAGAAGCCGGATCGGCCGGAACGCAAGGAGAAGGAGGTCAGCGGAGCTGCGAAGAAGGATGCGCGATCGGGAGGAAGGCCGATGCGCAGCACGGAGGAGGATCGTCCGACCGGTTCCTATCAGAGGAGCGCGTCGTGGCAAGAAGAGGCGTCTGCGCAGCGTTGGAAATACACGTTGCTGCCGAAGATTGAGGTCCCGGAACGATTTTCGGGGGGCAACCTGCGGGCGAGATGGGAGAAGGATCGACTGGACCAAGAGGAAATTTTCCGAGGCCTCGCCAACACACTGACCGGAGAAGCGGAAACCTTTTATCGCATCAGCCGACGAGTACTACTAGAGTGGACGGCTCGGGCGGCCCCAGGGGAGCGAGATCCCACGGCGCGCTTTCTGGGCATGCTTGAAGACAAGTTCCCGACGCAGACACCGGAGAGGGTGTCGGAGTTTAGGGAATTCCGCCACAGAATAGGGGAATCGTTGCTGGCGTACTACCGCAGGTTGGTGGAACAAGCCAAAGACATGAGCTGCCACGATACGGGTCGGCTTGTCAGCAAATTCTTGAATGGGCTGTACTATGAGCTACGGCGTCACGTGGCCATTCGAATCTTTGAAATGGGGGCACGAGCGACGCTAATGGAGGTATACAAAGTGGTGAAGCGTGTGGAGATTGGTCGTCGGCTGTGTGAGATTGAGGCAACAACGGAGAAAGGAGGGGAAAGGAGGAGGCCAGCCTGGTCAGCGACGCCGACAGATCGGGAAAAGCCACCCCGCAGGGCAGGAGACGAGCGTCGGTGTCAGCAGCTGGATTGACCTGGATTAGTCATGGTAGGAAGTGAGTCCAAGCATTGCATAAACATTGGAAGGCACCGGCTCTGGGCCAAGCATCGTGCAGCCGCGGACATTCAGCACTCGCAGCAGCGTCAAGCTACACAGCTGCTGCGGCAGGGACTGAAGCTGCACACAGTCCCTCAGGTCCAGCTCTCTGAGTCGTGCCAAATGGTGCAAGTTGGGAGGGAGGACGTGAAGAGCCGTCTTGCTGACATCCAATTTGTGCAGGTAAGTGAGGCTCGTGAGAGAACCGGGCAGGCTTGTCAGGGAGGAGCAATTACGCAGGCTAAGGTCGCCCAATCATGATAAGGATTAGCCTTGGAGCTTTTATGTGAAGAGATGTGAGTTGCACCAGCCGGGTCACACTTTCTGGAATCTCCGTGAGAGATTCCGCTCCTTCCACATGCAGCTGCCGCAGCTGAGGCAGAGCAGTGCCGATGTCATGCGGGAGGTGTTGCAAGGACACTGCATTTGAGAGGCGGAGAGAACGGAGGCGTGAAAGGAACCCGAGCAGGAGTGGAGGCTCTATTTGTTCGGTACCCAGGCGCAACTCTAGGTGCTGTATGTGAGAGAGGCAACGGCTGGCTGTTGGTGCGTTCATGATAGTAGCCCGAATTAAATTCAGCTTCTTGAGATTTGGAGCCATTGACAAGTCTGGAAGAGTGATGCTTTTGGTGTCGTTTCCCAAGCTCAAGGTTTCCAAAGACCGCGGCAGTGATTCCAAAGTCTTCTTCAGACGAACACAACCCGTCAAATCCAGCTCCCGCAGGCATGAGAGGTTTTCCAAGGCTCGAGGTGCAGATGCGAGCTTGATACACATGGGGGCCTTGAGAGTGTTGAGGCGGGTCAGTTGAGTGATGGATGCTGGCAGTGCTGTCAGCTTACTGCAGCAGCTCAAGGTCAGCTCCCGCAGGTCACCAAGACGGCCTGTACCCTCCGGCAGGCGCTGCAGTTGCTCACACCAGCTGAGCACCAGAGTGCGCAGATTGGTCAGCTCGCCTATTCCCTCCGGAATTGACTTCAGCCTTGATCGCGTGATGCTCAACGATTCAAGAGCAGCCAAGCACAAAATCGATGCAGGGAGGGTGACAATGCCCACACGGTCCAAGGATAGCTTCTCAAGCCCTGTGAGTAACCCAATGGAATCGGGGAGTCTCCCCAGCGACAAGCTTCTCAACGTTAACGACTTCAGCGCTGGAAAATCTCCCAAATTTTGGGGCTGTCTGGATACACTGTTGTTGAAAATTGTCAGAATCTCCAATTCGCTGAGGCTCGTGAGGGAGTCTGGTAGCAGTAGCTAAGGGAATAAACGCTGACCGAAAATGCAGAGTTCGCGAAGTACCGGGAACTGCTCTCCAAGATCGTCAGGCGGGATGCTCAAAACATTGCTTAGCAGCAGACGTTGAAGACGGAAGCACGGCGACTCTGGCGGAAAGAACAGGCTGGTCAGATTCGACAGGCGAGTTAACGACGACATCTGATTCAATCGCTCGCCCAGATTATGAATAGACAGCTTCGTGAGAGAAGAGAGATTCGCGACGTTGGGATCCTCCAAAGGCGAAATATCTCCCAGTGACAGCGTGTGCAGGCGCGTCAACTGGAAGAAGGAAGGCGGAAGCTGTGTGGTCCAATGGAGGCACTGGAGTGACAGCTGCTCCAAGCGGCGACAATGGCGGAAGAGACTGTCCAGCCCAGCTGCCGTGACGGGGTATTCTGAATCGTCCTCCTCATCGTCACGGTTGTCGTATGGAGCAATGCCTGTGCCGACATAAAGAGCGGTTAGGTTTGCTGACGATGAGCCGAGAAATGCGAGGAAATCGTCGTCGATCGTTTCCATGCTTCCGGTGCTCAAGTGCAGGCGAGTGAGATTCGGGAAGGACGCCAAGACGCGTTTGAGATCCTCGCGAGCCACCAGACGATTTGGTAAAATATGAAGCGTTGTGACGGATTCGTGTGCGAGCTCCCGCCAGCGACGGCAGACTGAGGCAATGAGGAGGACGTGAGCGACATCGGCAGAGGCAGGAGGTGTCGAAAAATGCAGGTCAGGCTCTGAATCATCGTTTTCCTCGCTTCTAGCGTAATCCGAAAGAGACAATGACGAGGTCGGCCGGAAAGCGTCGGAAAGCCAGAAGATTCTAACAAGAACAAGGTCAGGAAGACAATGTATCTTAGTAGACATTCTCATGTCCTAAAAATGACGAAGCAAAGGTTGGCTTTTGCGACGTCTGATCGACAACCACGACTAAGGTTGGGAAACGATGTGTCTAGAGAGGATGCTGATCAGACAGCACAAGCCAGACTACTGCCGGTAGCGTTATGGTACAGTAGCCAGTTTTTGGGAAGGGGGAGGGAACGCATCCGCCCAGAGGGCAGGTTCGTCTCTTGGGGGTGGCTTGAACAAAACCCTCGCCATGGACGCAAGTGGTAGGTTGGGGTGACGTTGTTCAAACAGCAACGTTCCGAAGCTGTAACGAGCCGTTACTCACGAAAATCTTACTGGTCACGATTTAGGTTGGAAACCAGTAGCTGTTATGAATGAACTTGTCAGAGTGCGCAGATATCGAATAACGAGAATGTTGAACTACCGAATGCCTGAACAATGAAGTAGCGAGGCCTAAATAGGGGAAAACCTAGCTAGGCGGGGATGGTGTGGTAGGGTTGGCTCGCGAAGTGTCGCGATTGGTGCGGAGGCGGCTCGGTGAGGTTGGGATGCGAAATTGTAGGCCGAACCAGTTGGTCGCGTGGCCCTCGGGATGGCCTCGCTATCGAGCGCCTCAGTAAGGATTTGTAAATCCTTACACTCTCCCACCTCCTAAATAAGGCAGCCCTATACGAAAATGAGTCTTACAGTAGCGAGGATGCCGTTGATCTTCACTTCAGCTGAATCCGACGGCTGAAATCCCTTGGGCGATATTTTTTTAAATAGTTGGAATGTAGGCCGTTGATGTAGTCAGGTCTCGATCTGACGGTCGAAGATGAAGTGGACCAATTCGAATTGAAGGTTGGAAGCGGAGCCGTTGATCGAGCAGATGTTGATCGGACGGTCAGAGCTCGCGTTGACCGCTGATGATTTCAAATGCGATTGAGCAGGAACCGTAGATCGTGTCGGTGTGATCGCGGTCGTCCGTCGTGCTGTCGCAACCTGACAAATACAGAAAGGGCCGAGAAAAACGCCAAGGAAAGAACAGTGCGAAGCACTTTCTCCCCCACTCCAAGAAAACACACCATAAAAGTTCCAGCAGCTGCGCCGAGAGGTCCTGGGCAGAGATGAAAAAATTACAGCTGTCTCTCCCCCCTTCCACTGTTGCTGCTGCCACCTCCAGTTCGTCGTAAGTCCTTCGTACCCCTTGAAAACTCCGTGTAGATCTCGCAGTGTTGCCCACACAAATGCGCGCGCGTTTAATCAAACGCCGAATACTCCTCCGATGTTGTCGCCGCTTCCCGCCGTAAAACCTGCAAGTCCCAGTTGAAATCTCCGAAAATGTCGTTGGAACATAACCCCGAAACTCCGCAATTGCAGGTGCAGTTCGCCTCCAAGCCTGTACCGACCCTTCCGAAATTATCAGGCGGTACCTTGGACACCGTTTAACCGTGGGTTGTCAGCAGCTGTCCCCGAAAACAACGTCCTTGGTCAGGGGAAACTGTTCTCGATACTGCCGGCCAGCTTGCAACAACACCAGGCACGCAGCGTCGCACGAGTTCTTTCGAGGTGTACCTGCCCCGATTTCCTTCGTCGCCTGCGTCCCACTCTTCGTAAGTGCGGTTTAGCCACCGCGTTTTCCGTTGCAGCCCGTAAGCGTCAGCAGGTATGAAGCCCCGTCTGTCCACGAGCACTCCTGCCGAAAATAGTTGATGACGCGCCCGCCAATGCGGTAAAAGCCGCCGCACTTAACAGGTCGGGCGGGACGGCAGTTAACTCCCGTTAATTCGGGCAGTCTTGTGTCGTCTCTCCTCGCCACCGACTTTTTCGGACGCAAACTCCTTTTGCGCCTGGCGAGTTCCCCAACCGACTTTTCTTCAACAGTAGCTCCGAAATTTTCGCCACAGTGACGCACATCCACTGTCGCCAGCTGCCGAAACACCTCCCGCGAGCCATGCCCGCAAAGTGACGACGAGCCACCGTCATAACTTGCCGCATCAGACGAGCTCCGAGATTGTCGCGCAGCTGTTGACCCAAATCCGACGGCGTCAACTGCCACACCCGTTGACGACTCCGAAATCTTCGTGCAGGCACCGACGCAGGTCTGCTGACGCCAGCTGTCTCACAAAATCCGAAATCGTCGGTAAATAACGCAGCGGAATAGTACTCACGTTCAGAGTCGCGACAGCTCCAGCTGTCCGTTGCCCGGGGGGAGGGAGGTCACGGTCGATCGCGACCGTTCGAGCTAAGGATCTGGCGGTGCCGAAGGAGTGCCCCGTAAAACTATGGCCGCGAAGAGCAACTAACTAGTTCTCTTGGCCGGCCTACGCAACTCCTGGACCCCAAGGCATCCTTACTCGTCCCCCCCCCCCCGAGGGGTAATACACTCTAAAAAGCGGGGAAAGCTAGGAAAGTAGCTCTGATACCAGGTGTTATGAATGAACTTGTCAGAGTGCGCAGATATCGAATAACGAGAATGTTGAACTACCGAATGCCTGAACAATGAAGTAGCGAGGCCTAAATAGGGGAAAACCTAGCTAGGCGGGGATGGTGTGGTAGGGTTGGCTCGCGAAGTGTCGCGATTGGTGCGGAGGCGGCTCGGTGAGGTTGGGATGCGAAATTGTAGGCCGAACCAGTTGGTCGCGTGGCCCTCGGGATGGCCTCGCTATCGAGCGCCTCAGTAAGGATTTGTAAATCCTTACAGTAGCCCTGTCAAACGAGGGTTCTGGTGTGAAGCAAACCGTGCTAGTTGTTGTAAGGTACCCCTTAGTAGGGGAACGATTTGAAGTGTAAAACTATTGGTTGTATTAGGACAAAACAATGTGACAACCTCCAGAAACAATATGAGCATCATACGTCCTCTTTGGACAACACGATTAAGGGTTTAAAAAAAAAAAAAAAAAGGTGAGACATTTACTGTAATTATGCAAGTTTTTATGACTCTTGAGTGGAAGGACGGCTAGTACAACGAGTGATAGTCATGGGCATCATGATACGTGGAATGTATTCGATCACATGATGCTGATGTTGCTGATCCAGCAGGTGCCTGCACAAAACAAATAGAAAACACATGCTAAACACACAAGGAAAAAAAAAGGGGGGAGGACTGCTTCAATGTCAGCCATTGACCGCGGCTTTGGCACCATTGTCGGGCTCCGTGGCTGCACAGGTAAGCACGTCAGAGGTAAGGGTAGACTAACTCAGCAAAGTCCCCCATATGCCATAGCCCTCCAAAATCTACTGTACTGACCTCCATGTTTAAGATCAGTTGGTTACATAGATATTGACACAGCAAGCACTGACGACAAGAAAAGGTGCTGCTGCCAGGGAACCAGCTGAGGAGATCGGCTTTGGGATGGCAGGATGAGAGGGATAAAGAGTGGGCTAGAGGGAAAGAGAGGACCAACCGGATGAAGAGACCAATGTACAATGGGGGTGAGATATTAGAGGACGAAACCAACAAGGGGGACTGCTGGAAATAGAATAGGGGAATGGTGATAGAATGGCTGGGATGAGATTGAAAAGAGATATAGCAGCACTGCAAACATTAAGCTATCTGGCATTGACATTTTCCCAATCAGACTGTCATTGTTTTTTTTTTTTCCTTGACAGCTTCCCGTTGTGCTTGTTCTAGTCAATTTCTATTTCATTCCATTCAGACATCCTGCCATTGACATCCTGCGATGGCAGCGCGGATGTGCGATGGCAGCGCGGATGTGCGATGGCAGCGCGGATGTGCGATGGCAGCGCGGATGTGCGATGGCAGCGGGGCGTGGCATCCCGTTACAAGCGGCCTTGATTAAGCACATGGTGATGCTCCCCAGGCATGTGGGAAGGCAAGGGGCGATGTGCGCAAGGGGGTTGGGCAGCAGAGGGGGAATGGGCACAGGAGTTAGGGATGAGCAGCGGATGGGGAATGGGCACAGTGCTGTGCTGGCAGGCCTGGCAGCAGTCAGCCCAGGCAGCACAGTCAGCACATGGCGGCACATGGCGGCACATGGCGCTGCTTAAGGGTGTACAAACGAATACGAATACGAATATGAATACTTTTGAGGTCTATTCACCAGGTTTCTTATTTGTACGAATAGCAGCTCAACACCGAATACGAATACGATTCGAATATTGCCGAATCCTAGGCGAATACGAATACCTGGCGAATTAGTGAACATATGGGTTTTGGGTTTATGGTACTTGTTTTTCTTAGTGTATCAAAGTTTATGTAAAAAATGGTATAATGGGAAAATTCACGGGAATAAGGAAGCATGTTGCTGTATGCGAATAGAAGTGTTTGTGCTTTCAATGGGGATACTTTGGCTCATTGTCAATGTCATATGACAGTGGTGTTTGGACTTTGTTATATATTTTGTTATGTATGTTCATTGTTGTTTTCTGGGATGAATTAGTTCGGCTGATGGTTTCTGGACTTCACTTCCAAGTTGAGGCGCGCTTTGACGGCTAAATGGCGGTATGAATGTAAACGGGTACAAGCGTGCACGCTGTTTCGCCTATCTCGGCGCGATTAGTCAAGGAGTAATGCGACACAGTAACATTTTCGCAGTATCTCTGTTGTTGATCCACGGTTGTTGATCGCCACACTCACAATCTCAATTGGTTGATGCGACCACTTTCTCGTCTCGTCAATGCCCCCACCCAGTGATTTAGGGTGTCCACGATAAGACATACATGTGTATTCAAGTGATTGGTCCGCGTGCAAGACAGAATATTCAGATACACATGTGTGGCTCCTAAGTGTCACTGCGGAAACGGTGCGTCTCGACTGGGGGTGTTGATTTTGCTTCTGCGACGATACCGGTCGCAAGCCTGTAAGAAAACCAGAGCGCGACCAATTGGAGTTACCGACTTGGGCACACACGAGAACAGCCCGTGACGGTGCACTGAGCATTTCGGGCTGTTCCAATCAGCCCACTTGTTGATCCTTGTCGCGCGGAATTTCAATTTTTACTGTAACCTTGACCCGTCCACCGTTTGCCCCGTGCTTACGTGGTTGGCGTTACGAACAGCTGTACACACATCTGTGATCACAAGAACAAAATAAAATTATCTTTGCCCGGTTTGCTTGGGTTCCGAGCCGCAATCGTATCTCGGTTTCCTTGGCTTACTCATTTCTGACTCCTCCTGACGTGTTCCAACACGAATGGCGAGCGGGAGCTTCAAACCGCACACATTGCATGCCGCAGCGTCGATTTTACCGCGCATCCACATAAAAAGCACTTACAACATCACAACATCCCCCCGCACAACAAATTCCCTCCACTATCCCACAGTGTGCTGGCAGCGAGACCAACATCCCTCATATGTAATAGCCCCACCCAAATTTTTTAGTTAGCCACTCTCTGAGCTCCAATTGTCACTGCGTTCGTGCCCACGTCGTTCAGAAAAGCACCTTACAGACGGTAAACACATCCGACTAGGCATCTTGGAGCATTCTCAACCGTTATGACGTAGGCGCTCAACTTCCGCCGCTATCGCACGTGGATTCCCCAGTTGCGCCATCACTACCGGCCCGAACCCTTTGCTACCGGTCCGTGAGATTGCCACCTCGGCCTCCTCTGACGCACGAACGCCAGCGGCATGGAATTCAGTCGTCGACTGGTCTGGTTGGCGCGGGAAGAGCCGCCTTTGATGGCTGACAACGTATAAAGGCGCGTAGGTGGCGCATGGCGCGAACGAGAGAATGCTTACGTCGCGATGCATGAAGGGTCTGTTGGCCGAACGGCCGACAGCGAGACAAGCTGGGAAATTGTTCGACTACATCGGTTGTAACTGCATTTATGTCTTAGAAAGACGGGTGTTGGTCCAGGCGACGAAAACTGTACTGTGTGTGGCAAAAGCATGACATGAACCGTGTTCCGGTTGACGGATGCGCTCGGGCGCCGAGGAGCCGTGGCAGAAGCGGTGCAACGCGGCGACTACAGCCGGACCGATTGTTCTGGGGTTCCGCTTTCTACGCCTACTGCTGCTTGCGAGCCGAGCCTCACCTAACCTGTTGCTGCTCCTGCCGTTTCCTCTTCTGCCGGGAGCGCACTTGTTTCTGGGGAACCGATCTGCTACAGATCTTGTCCGATCAGAGTAACTAGGAAGGCGAGGGCGGAAGGCAGGAGGTGACAACGGAATGGGACGCACCTGCCCGCAGGGCGCAAGGCATGAGCGAGGGCGCAAGGCGGGTGTGTGGGGTGGCGTGGGACGGGCATGTGCGGGTGGGAATATGTGGGGCTGAGTGCCCGGGAGATGAGGTGACAGAGGTGGAACGTGAGAGGTGAACCAAGATGGAAGTTGGATTTCCTTGCTCAAAGCAGTGGGATTGTCTAGCTTGAGTTTTTCCCGATTACTTGCTCCCTATCACCCTCCCTTCCCTCACTCCCTATCCCTCTCTCCCTATCACTCGCTCCCTATCCCTCACTCCGTATCCCTCACCTTTATCACTTACTTCATCGTCAAACGCTCTTCTCCAGGCAGCCGCGCATGTCCAAGGCAGCCACGTGGCACCTGCCAGCCAAACCATCAGGTTCGGTGGTCCGAACCACAAGCCACGGCTCGCCATCCGGTCCGGAGCAGTGAAACGAGTCTCCAAAGGGGCCCGAACCAAGCTGGAGTGGTGGAGTGGGGATGGCGAAAATGGCATGTGGAGAGCAACGGAGAGGGACACAAATGGGTAATCAGTGGTGTACGGAGGTGGAGAGGTGAATCCAAGTGCTGCAAAAAGGTACTGAAGTGAGCAAGAATGGGCTACGTAGGGAGGCTGCATTTAAAGTGAAAGTGTGAATGCAGGAGAGAGAGTAAGTAAAGTGGTGAGTCAAGGAGTGAGTGGCGGTGGGGGAGAGTGAGAGGGAGTGTGCGGCAACAGAGGAAAAGGCGATGTGCCTTAAGAAGGGGGTCGTAGTGGTGCGCGGAGCGGGAAGTCGAGGGCTGGAGGAGGGGAAGGCGGAGAGGAAGAGGATAGGATGCAATCATGGCGCGCCCGCCCAAAACCAAGATGCTAAGTTCAGAATTCAATCCCACAGCTCCCAAAACACAAGCATCAAGACCCATGCAAAGGAACTGCCCGGTAATCGATGTTACCCTCACGTTGATTTGCAGCACAATATTGCAATGAACAGGCTTCTGTCACAGGGCAATCTTCTACGGCCTGCTTCTCATGGTACTTCATCATGAGCAGCGGCAGCAGCGCCGCGGAACAGATGATGAAGCACTTGCAACAGAAGTGGCAGAAGGTAAAGCAAGAGGGAAAGCAAGCAGCCAGTGTGTGCTACAGAGATATCTGATCGCTTAGGTTATTGTTGGCGACACGATATGTGCTGCACCAATCAGAAAGAGCCAACCCACGCCATGGCGTGGTCACCTACCCGCCGGTCGGAACTGCGTCTTCCCCTCCTTCCCCTCCACTCCATGCATGCTTCCCTCCCCTAACACTTAGGGCAGAGTGAAGTGAAGTTCCCGTAATTGTCATAGGTAAGCTGATGTATTAGCTTTTTTTTTTTACTCCTACGGTGTCCGTGCTTTGTAGTCAACTCCCCAAACTCTTGTAGGCAATCCATCATCACATCAGACCCTAATCACGTCTGCTGGAAATGTGCGTCAACGAAGCAAAATCCGCCGGGAGGGGGAGAGTGGATCTATGCCATGCCATCAACAAGAGGTGATCCAGGGTACCCCTTCATCACAAGGCACACTAGCAACTACCGTATAAGCCTAGCCATCTTAACTTGTCCAGCATGCCATCACGTTCGAAACGCGTGCACGGTTCCTGCCATTAGTATCCCACCAAGCCATTTGGTGTCTAAACTTTGGCAACAACCACAGGCCAACACAACACCAGCATGCCAACACAACACCAGCATGCCATCACAACACAAGCATAGAATAATGTGAATGTGAGCGATGTCCAAGGTTTGCATCACAAAGGACAATCAGTTGTTTCTGCCAATCTACGTATCACCTCTAAGAAGGTATGGTTTTCCATACCCTATTTTTTCAATACCTCATCTCAATTTTTAGTGATAGTTCAAAAGGACTTAATTACAAAAAGGCATGACAATTGAATCCTAGGTTTATGAGTTGTTAGTTTCTCATGCAATACACTCCGCTCATGCACCACTGTTTCCGACGCAATGTTGAGCATCTGAGTCATTGTCAACCTGGCCAGCGAAGGACTTGTTGCTTGTCGGGGCTCGTCAAGGGTCGGTAACGCGCCAACGAAGCAATTGTTTACAGTTGTCGTGTTCGGTATTTTCCAAAAACAGCGCGCCTGTGTTCACTGGATTACTTGTACTGTACAAATGATTCCGGTGCAAGATGGACTGTGGGCGAGTGGATTCTTTCGTCTTGTTGAACACCTCACATGGTGGCCGCATCGTATCTGTGTCGCACGTCGCACGCATATTCCGCCATACTGCCTCGTGACGTGGAAGCTGCCTCACTGCAGCATATCTGACGTGTATGTTGTGTCTTGTTTTTTTCATACCAGCCCGAACAGATAGGATCGTAACTAAGCTAACTAAACACCATGAACAATGGATGCTGTGAAACAAAATTCTACGAGGCAATACCAAAATGACCGAGACTTTTATTGACAGTCAGCATCAAGATTACGGTTCGACTCTAAACAGGGCAGGCGAACAACATTGACCATGCATGCACTGCTGCCCACACTGCACCCCGCCCCGTGAACTGCGGACGTCTTTGCCAACGCACCTGTGAGAGCGACGGTGTCATGCCCACCAGTTTGGCGTTCACGTACAGGGCAGTTTGGTCGCTTCGCTTGTCATCAGCGGAATCCCCAACATCAATCCCCCCCCATGTCGGTTTCCCCGTGGTTCCCCCATTTTGTCCCTGGTGGGTTTCCCTCACGCTTCCCCCGCGCTCACACACACCTCCCCTGCCCCCAACCAGTCCCTTCTCGCAAAAGCTTCCGCGATTCCTTCTGTTTCGGCATGAACGACCTGCTCCCCCCAACCAACCAAGCTGTCATTCTCGCTCACCAATTTTTGCTTCTCGAGATAGCTTCGCTGCTGCAAATTATGCTGTACGACCGTCTCACAGCTTGCGGGCAATCAACAGCTGGAAGACCGCGGGTGCTATGCCGGAGGTGACAAGTGGCCATCGTAGTTTTTTGTTGCTGCTATCTTAGACCGCTGTCATGGTTGTTTGTTAGGTTTTGTTGTTGTAACAGAGATTGTTTCATTAAATCATTTATGAAAATTTATGTTGTACAAGCTCCTAACACTAACTATTTCCTACCCTCAGCATCTTCCAGAGCGTGCCAAGACCTCAAGCACATACAAGCTCTGACGGTTTCGGGGTTCAAGCTGTGTCTGAAATCCGTTATCACATGTCGTACCACGGAAAATGAGCGCTCAGAATCCGCTGATGTTCCTGGCATGGCAAGGTAGTCTCTTGCTATTTTGGCCACTGTTGGGTAAACCCGTTCGTGAGAGATCCACCAGTCCTTGAATGTGGCCATAGTTCCTTCTGGAACTTCAGGTCCTTCCTCTGCAAGATAATCCGCCAGTTGCTTCTCTCCGTTGTCCCGTTTTGCATCGCTTGATACACGGAAAAGACCTCCCAGAATTGATGTTTTGTCCTTGCTTGTTGTTGCTGGTGCGGTCTTCACTTGCGTCTTTGCTTTTGATGCGTCCTCTTTTTTTTTTTTGTACTGCAGAAACGCCTTGGTGATCGTCTTCCGAACAGATGCCGCGTTGACGTGGCCAGAGGTCGACTCCCCGTCGGTATAGTAGCGTAGATTGAACCTTGGATCCAGGATAGTTGCGATTGTGTATTCTTCTGAAGTCTTGTTGTAGTACTTCTCCAGCTTCTTGAGCCCTGCTTTTCATGCGTCACTGAAATCATTCCCTTTTTGCACCCCAGCATCCAAAAAGTCCATAAGCCTATTCATCAATGGGATGCACAGGGAAAAAGTGGGATATTTTGATGCTTCCAGAATGGCAGTGATCTCATGCAGGGGAGCCAGAAGGGTATAAACTTCATTCAGCGCTGTCCACTCCTCTTCCTTCATCCTTAGTTGCTCAAAAATCTCATCACCTGCCTCCACCAAATATGCATTAATTGCAGGCTTCATCACCTTAGCGCGGTCGATCATGGCGTACGCACTGTTCCACCTCGTTGGGGTGTCGTGAATCAGCGATGTTTTTTTGCCCGTTTCTTTGTCCGCTTTGCAATGGGCCAGGAACGTCTTCGTGCGCTTGGTAGAGCCGCTAAGGTGAGTCGCAAGCCCCCGGATCTTCGTTAACGCTCGATCAACACGAGGCGTCTTCAAGATGCATTCTGCAATGAGATTCAACACATGTGCAAAGCACATAAGGTGCCTGTCTTTGCAGAAACCCACCTCTGTCGAGAGTAGAGACAGAAATTTCTCGTTGTTGGAAGCGTTGTCGACGGTGATTCCCATAACCTTCTCCTCCAAGCCCCACTCCTTATAAACTGATTCAATGAATGCTTCTTTAATGGCCTCTCCAGTATGATGTATCCCCACACATCGAAAATCCAACAGAATGGACTTACTTTCCCAGTTCTTATCGATCCAGTGTGCGGTGATTGCCATGAATTGTTCGTTGTTTGGCGCTGTCCACAGATCACATGTAAAGGATATCTTAGAAGACAAAGCACCCAGGCGCACCTTGAGCTTGGAAAAAAAGTCTTTATATGCATCCATGATGTCTCTTGCAATGGTGACACGAGAAGGGACGTTGACCTTCGGTTCCAACCACTTCAAATAGTCTTGCAGTTCTGTACTCTCAATGAAAGTGAACGAGATGACACCTTTGGCGAAAATACGCACCAAACGACGCCGAATCTCCGCGTCAGTGTAAGTGCCACGAGAAATGCACTTTTCAATGTCTTGAAGACCACTGGAAGCATCGGCAGGGTATAAATCAGAATGGTGAACAGGGTGCTTGCTCTTCAAATGATTGACCAAACAGGATGCTTGCTCTTCAAATAAGGGCTAGTCGACCCTTTTGGACATTTAAAAAATGTTTTCACCGGATTAATAAGACAACGAGCGGTATCCTTACGTTCAAGCTCAAACACGTTCCACACAGGAGCCGTCCGTTTCTTAGACTCTGGCGTAGTTGACGGCCCACCTGCCTCATTTGGGACGGAGGCTGCGGGTCGTCCACGCTTACTGGATTTTGTAGGGCCAGGGGCCGATCCTTGCTCAGCTGTCGGATTCTCTGCGGAAGTACCCTCCCGGCCCTTAGACTGCGCTGGTGCATCCGTGGGCGCCATTTGGACTGCCTTGCGTCTGGAATGGAGAGAATAAAGCTTGTGTGGATTTGGAAAAAGCTTTTGCAAACTGAGAATCCAAACCCTAGGCATGGAGTGTTTATAGTAAAAGGACTACAAGATTATGCCAGTTCTGTCGCGTTGCTAAACCCGGAGCGTGAATGTGTTGTGCGGGTAAACATTTCGGGAAAACGGACACTCTACCGTTTTGCCCGCCTTGACTCGAGAGACTGCAGCATGTGGAAATCAAAATTTTCGATGGGGTAGTTTCGCGCCGTCGACCTGTTCAGAAATCAGCCGTAATTGTTTGCAAATTTTTCAGAGTTCCGGCTTCCAAACGTACCATCTTCGCGCTTTTCCCAAATGCCCATGCAAAGTGACCAGTGAAAGGCTTTGTTTAGGACCTAAACCGTTAAGTTTCGAACCGCCCGCGTATTTTTGAGGGGCACTTACCGAGTCGGAGTAACTGCCTAAGTGATTTCGTGCGACGGTACTTCGTGCCGCCCCCAAAATTGCACAGCATGTCAGACAGGCACGCTGTCGTCTACTGTTGGTACCGTCAGAGCTGGACGAAACCGCCGAGATTCTGCTGACGTGCGATGCGACCAGCGAAGTCGGCAGGGCGGCGAAGCGACGGAATGCTGATTGCACGCCTGGGTTGTTTGAGTTCGTGCGTGCACTGTATTGCGTGCACTGTACTCAGAATAGGCTTGCCTCGGCACCAATGTAATAAAATCTCGGAAAACGTAACGTAATTGTTACCATCCATAGATTAACAAACAGATTCTTAAATGATATAGAAATAAGAAAGCTCTGGCACGAAATATCAAGACAGATTTACAAACCTATATTATGTAACCCCCCAAAATCATGCAACAAACAACCCTAATCTTTGCCACAACATTGGCCCCTGCAAAAAGCAAAGTTCTAAACCCTAAATCTAGTAGGTGTCAATGGTAGAATAACGAATACAAACGAATACCTCGAATATTTCTGATCCGAATATTCTGCATCGACGAATACTCTCAACACAAATAGTGTCGAATTTGCTGCGATCAGAGTAGCCCAGGATCTACCCAGGAAGGTTCGCACGCAGTGAGTCCTTAACCTCAATTGCAGAGTGAATGTAAAATGCTTGAGATGAATAAAACATGCAAATACAAGGAATATAAATATGAGTACAGGGGAATACGAAACGACCTAACTAGCCATGTACTCTAAGGGGTACATTCCCTTATTCAAATTCATTCCAACCGTGCGGCGCGTACAGTTTCGTAACTGTTCCCGCCAAAACCATCTTGCCTGCAGCTGCCCGATGCTGTCTGCTCCGACGGTCCAGATGTGCTGTAACCGTCCGACGCTTCGATTCAATTCCAACCGTCTGACGTTTCGCGTTCGTTCCCGGTATTGCGTGCTTCTCTTTGCTGCGGTGAGGAGTGCACAGTAATATCAAAATATTACCATTCGTAACACCCCCGTTCACTCCTGGCCGTAGCTCGACTTGACCTGCTTGACCACGCCGCTGAGTTCGGAGCAGTGCTGATACTGCTGGCGTGGCAGTCGCTTCGTGAGGAAGTCTGCTGCCATGTCACCCGTCGGGCAGTAGGTCAAGTTGACCTTGCCTTTGTCCACCTCGTCCTTCACGAAGAAGTACCGCAGCGCGATGTGCTTGGTGCGGTTGACGAAACCAGGTTTGTTCGCGATGCGAATTGCGCTCTGGTTGTCGCAGTGAAGACGGAATGTGGGCGAAGCTGGAATTTTCGCCTCTTGCAGAAGTTCCTGCAGGTAGAGGCCTTCGCGAACTGCTGCAGTTGCTGCGATGAATTCCGCTTCGGCAGAAGACAGGGCAACCAACTCCTGCTTCTGTGAATTCCAGGAGATTGGTCCCGATGGCTCGAGTCGGAACAGGAAGCCCGTCTTGGACCGTCGATTATCGGGGTCTGCTGCGTGATCGGCGTCCACGTAGCCGACGAGGTTGAAGGATGGAGTTGGTGCAGTTGAGTAGCACAGCCCGATCTTGGGCGTTGAAACGAAGAATTGAAGAGCGCGCTGCAGGTCCAGGAGATTCTCAGCCGTTGGTTTGCGTGAGTACTGCGCAAGCTGACTTGCGATGTACGAGAGATCTGGCCTGCAGGTGACAGAGGCGAAGAGGAGGCATCCCAACTGCTGCTGGTAAGTCTGGATCCCAGCAGGGGATAGGGCTTTGTTGTCAGGTTTGTGGTTTGGTCCGGGGGTTCGGTAGGGAGTTGAGAGGGGTGCAGGTGAAATGCTGAAGCGCTTCCCTAACTCCTCTGAGAGGTGAATGGCCTCAGGTGCGTAGGAGATGTTGAGGCCCAGGAACTGCTTCACCTCGTAGTTGCACGTGATGTCGACGCGCCCCGCCAAGGCCTTCTCGAACTGCTCGAGAAGCTCGTTGTTAGACCCTCTGTAAAGCAGGTCGTCGACGTACACCGTGAGGAGAATGTATTCGCCGCGGAAATCGCGGCGGTACATTCCTGGATCGTGCGGCATCTGCTTGAATCCGATTTCAAGCAGGATGTTGTGCAGGTACTGCTGCCACAGCCTCGGTGCCTGTTTGATGCCGTAGAGTGATTTTCACAGTTGACATACGCGCCCGTCTCCTTCTCCGTAGGTATGTGGCTGCTCCACGTAAATCACGGCGTCCACTAACGCGTACAGGAACGCGTTCTTCACGTCGATCTGGCGGAGTGGTAAGTGCCTTGCAGCTGCGATGGCGAGCAGGATGCGGACGGAGGTGTGACGGCTAACCGGGGCGAACGTCTGGTCGAAGTCAATCCCGTGCCTCTGATCGTAGCCGCGAACCACCCAGCGCGCCTTGAAGCGCTCGATCGTTCCATCCGCCGCGGTCTTCACGCGGAAGACCCACTTTCCCGAGAGAACCCTTGCTCCTTTGATTGCTGCGCGGTCTACGAGTACCCAGGTATCTTGTGATTCCAACGCCTAGATTTCCGCGTCCATCGCCTCGCGCCATTCCTTGCTGTGTGGCCCAGAGAGAGCCTCGCGCGGGTTTCGGGGCTCGATGATGCGTGGCGCCTTCGAGGTTGCGGTGTGAAGCCCGAGCAGCTGTAGTCCTGAGACGGTGCTGTCGTGGCGACGTTGCGGGATGACTTCCTGCACATCGTCGTCATCGCTTTCAGGTTCAGGTGGTGCTGGTGGTGCTGCGCCTCCGCCGCTTCCGCCTGTTCCGCTTCCGCCTGTTCCGCTTCCGCCTGTTCCTCCTCCCGAGGAATCATCGTCGTCGTCGTCGCTGCTGCGCCGATCTTCCCAAGTGAATTCGGCCCTGGTGTCTTGCTCCAGAAGTGCTGCAGCGGCTTCGTCTTCGGGCGTTGCGTAGCTGTGCCCGTTGTTCGCGTAGACGCGATCTGCATTCCTCTGCTCGTCGTCGCGGAACTGGTCGAGGAAGAGGCGTTCGTAGAAGATTACGTCGCGGGCATGGGCGGTCTTCTGGCTCAGGAGGTCCAGCACGATCCACGCCTTGTATTCGTGGCTGATGCCGAGGTGGATTCCCCAGCGCGCGCGGCTGGCGAATTTGCCGATGGTTGACGTCGGCGGGCGGTATTGAACCATGCACCCCCACACGCGGAGCATGGAGGTATCCCCTTTGGTTCCGCTCCATTTGACGTGCGGGGACAGGTTGCCGGTGATTGCGGTGGTTGAAAGCAGGTTATGCACCCGCACGGCGTGGTGCATCGCGTAGGTCCAGTAGATCGGCGGCAGTTTCGACTGCTTCATCAGCGCGCGCACCTTCGTCATCAGTGTGCGATTCGTCCGCTCAGCTACGCCTTGCTGCTGGTGCGCGTAGGGGAGGGAGATGTGGTGCTCGATCCCCTTTTGCGCCAGGAAGGTCTGCATCTGGTTGCTCCTGAACTCTGCCGCGCCGTCAGATTGCCAGATTTTGAGCTTCTTCCCAGATTGCTGTTCCGCATGCGCCAGCCAGAGGCGAAATACCTCGTAGGCTCTGTCGCGGGTCTCCACGTTCACGACCCACACATAGCGCGTTCCAGCGTCGATGAAGGTGAGTGTGTATAGTTCGTCTTCTACTCCGCAATGCCCCACGTTCAGGAAATCGCTGTACACCTTGTGCAGCTTGGGGTAGCGGTTCGTTCCAGGTTCGAGCAGCGGGAACGGTTGGTGGCTCAGCGCAGCTTCGGGGCAGACAGTGCAGTTGCGCGGATGTGTTCCGCCACTCACTTCGGAGCCATCAGGGCGCAGGAGTGCGCCAGGGGCGAAGACGCCAGCGTCGATGCAGTTTTTCAGCGTCGCGCGGGAAGGATGTCCGAGGCGCTGGTGCCAGAGTGCGTCGTCAGCGCGAAAGCCGGAGGTGCGCATGTAGCGCGCGCGTACCTCCTCAGGGTCTTCGTCAGGTGCGGGAGCAGGTTCCGCTGCTACTTCCTCTGCTTCTTCTTCTTCTGCCGCGGTGGTCAGCATCAACGCCAAGAACTCTCTGTCGCGAATTTCAGAGAGCGGGATGTTGGTCCCAGGGATGGTTCCAGGGACAAGGGTAGGTTGGCGTGGTTCAGGGGCAGGTCCGTAGACAGTGCGACGCGGGGTTGACGGCTCGTTGCCCCAGATAATGGTATCCCACGGGTCGCGATGCGGGGGAATGTCTGCAGGAGGTGGTGCGAGCGGGATGTGGCGCGGGGGACGACCGAGAGGAACGACTGCAGGTGCTGCTTCGGTTTCCGCGGCTTCTTCCTCTTCCCCCCTTCGTTCTTCGCGGGAAGTGCCCCATCCGCCAGTTGCGGTTGCCCAGGTTCCGCCGTTATCTCCCCAACCGCCAGTGTCGCTCGTTCCCCAGCCTCCAGCGCTTCCCCACCCCCCTTCATTGGAGGCACTTTCTTCCGCTTCGGCTCCCCATGCGCCGCAAGCGAAGGTCCCGCGGGCTTCCGCGAGGCTTTGTTGGCGAAGCTCCTCGGCTTCGCGGCGCGCCAGTTCTTCCTCCTGCTCCACGGTGAGTTTTGCCGTGGGATCACGCCAGTGAG